GCGAAGCTGGCGCCGAGAGTCAGACCCGCGATGAGAGAGGGCTTGGAGCGGGTGCGAACGAAACCGAAGGTGCCGCCCGCGGCCACTGCAGGATGGGTAAGCTTGATCCGGAGCATGACAGGAGGTGAGTCTTACACAGGCCTGCCAGTGTGAAAGCGGGGTGTTCAGCCATTGCTGTCAAGATTGCTGGGTTCTGAGATATGGCGAGTTGTAGTTAGGTATGAAAAGGCTGAAATCACGGGTTGATGAGCACGTCTTTAACGTCCGGCTTGGCACGGCGTGCACAAGCACTGAGGTCCGAGATTACTTAGCACCTGGGGCCACGCTAAACTCAATACGGCCCTGGTATCCCGAGGGACATGCATCTCGACGTTCAGAACATGGACATTCGAGGAACGTGATTAGAAAACTGTGGATTCTCCTACATCCGTCATCTCCTTGAGATCGAACGACTACCTCTTCACCAAGGCTATGAAGCAAGGCCGACTGACGTCGTTTTCCAGCTCTGTATACATTGGATGCCTCAACGGCCTTTATACAACCAACTCATCTCAGCCCACATGTCTCCTGGGCAGATTTCCATGTCTGTTTTTTCGGTGTTGTCTGGGGTCAGAGAGGACGAAGCTGTCACTCTCCGCATTCAAGATCGTCCTCCTCGCTCGGCGCAGATGCATCGACACCGACGCGTTGGTTACGCGTCGGAAGAAAAGAGAAGAGCAAAAGTAAAGAAAAGGGTGCACGTGAGGTGGCATGTCGGGTTCGCCGGAAGCGGCGTGGATTAATTACGTTTCTGATTGTGTCGTCGTTGAGGGGTTGCGAGGAGAGGGGTGAAGAGAGCTGAAGAAATGGGCGTAAAGTATAATTCCTCCCATGTTTTGGGGGGCCGAGTGTGGTTTGCGAGACGACCTCGGACCGCTGCGGTAGGCTAAGCGGTCGGATCAAAGAGAGAACCGCGGTGGCGGCTCGGGCGGAGGGAGGGGGTATCGTTCATTCGACAAAGAAGAGCCCATGAGGCGCGTGGTGGGGAGACATAGCGGTTGTCTTGTTTGCAATGCCAGAGGATGGATGACCCGCTCTAGAAGTTCTGAGAAATGCCCGCGCTCTGTTGCGGGTAGTGGCTGGGGTTCTCAATGCGGGTGTTGCGGCGCGCGGGGTTGTCGCGAATGATGGGCTGGCCAGGCAGCTCGGTAGGGCGGTCGTAGCTGTTTTCGGCATAGGGGTTGTTCTGGTAACCGTCGTAGTAGTTGTTGGTTCCGTTGCCGCTGCCGTAGGCGACGCCAACGCCGCCGTCGGCAGTGGAGCCTTCGGAGCGGGCGCCAGCACTGTACGACGAAGAAGCGTTCGAGGGACCGCGCTGGACGCCATTGCCGCGGTTCAGGGCAGCCGAGGGACCCATGGCACCCAGGATCTCGCCCTCGGGGGAGATGGAGCCGTCGTTGAGCAGAGGCTCACCTGATGGCTGTGTCAGCAACTGTTGATGAGGAATGGCCAAGCCAGAAACTTCACTGCACATACCTGTGTTGTTGGTGTGGCCTCCGGACATGGTAGTGGAAGCCTTGCGGCCAGTCGAGCCAGCCAGGGTCGTGGAGCCCCAGCCGCGGTATCCAGATGACCCGTCCTCCCTCATCTCGTACCCGTCACTGCCACCAGCGCCGCCAACGCCGGCGACGGCGGGAATAGTGGGATCCGCATTGGGATTGTAGGAGTAGTCCTCGACCTCCTTCCGGCGCTCCTCCTCGGCGTGGCGCTTGGCCTTGCGCTTCCTCCAGAAGAAGAGTCCGGCGAGAATGATGAGCGCGACCGCAACGATGGGAACCACTACGGCAATTGCGATGCGTCCTTGGTTGCTCAGACTGCTGCCGCTGCTGCCGCCACTGTTGATGGCGCCATTGCTAGCAGTGCTTGCAGGTGCTTCCGAGGCGCTGGTGGGAGACGATTCCCTGGGCGCGGTGGTGGTGACGGTGCGGATGATGACGCTGGTGCGACCGTTGATCGTCTCTACCGTGGACTCGGTAATGAGCTGGGTGGTCGAAAGTGGTTCCGCCTCACTGCTGGTGGTCGTGATGAGTGTCGTAGAAGGGGTCGTCACCACGGGCTGTTCCGAGGATGTGGTCGGCACAGGAGCTGGGTCGCTTGATGTCTGTGGCGTAGAACTGGGCGCTGGCGGCGTGGTCTGCTCGGAAGTGGTCGGCGCGGGAGGAGTAGTAGAGGGCTCGGGGGTCGTAGATGGCTCAGGTGCCGGCGTGGAAGGCTCAGGAGTGGGCGTGGGCGTGGGCGTAGGGTCGACCGTGGGCTCGTCGGCCGGCGTGGTGACGACCGGCGGCGAGACCGACTGGTCAGACATGGTGAATTTAAAATAATGTCGCGGATGCAGGGGAATGTTGCGTGCTGTGTGAGAAGAGAATGTTAGAAAACGGTGTGTCGAGGGGCGCGTTCGGCATCGGCGGCATCGAGACGCCCGACTTCAAAACAAAGGGCGACAGTGGATTGCGCTCGACAGACAGGCGATGGATTGAAATGAAAGAGAGAAAAAGGGACGCAGAAGCGGTATGCGTCCTTAGGTAGGTGGCAATCCGCCAAATGTCGTACGCCGCGGTGGCAGACAGCCATCGGGGTACAAGATGCGGCAATATGCAACGTACCTTTTTTTCTTCGCCCGGGAGGACGGGGTTCCCGGCGGTATGGGCCCGGCAAGCGCGAACGTGAGGGGACCGAGGCGGGAGGAATAAGTAATTGAAGAAGGAGTTGGCTAAAGAGCGGCGGTGTCTTGACGACTGAACGAGTGATGGCGAGCCGCCGGGGGTTGGTTGTGTTTGTGGTTTGGTTTGAGGAGGAAGGATCCTCAAACGAATGAGTGGGCGGTGGTGATTGATGGCCAGCAGGCGTGGGTGGCAGCGGGTCGGGACGACCTGATCTGGTCGCTCGCAAGCGGGCGGACGGAACCTCGGAGGATTGGGATGAGCTGAGTCAGGTCGATTGGTCTGACTGAGTGAGGATGCTGTCGGTCTCCTCGGCGATTTCTCTCTTCCTGCCCCTTTTTCTTTTCTTTTCTCGCTCACGCGTGAAGTCTCCCGTGGCTGGAGTGTGTTGGGCTGTGGAATTGAAAGGAGGAAACGGGGGTGAGTCGACCCGTTGGAAGGGAAGTGCGGGAGAGGGGGCAAGAGGCACACGAGTTGCGTGGAGAAGGGAAGGCAGGTGCAGGGGGGGGAAGACACGAGTGTGTGGGTGCTACTGGCTACGCCTCTCCAGTGGGAGCCCTCGGCCAGTGTTGTGTGTGGGCAGGGCAGAGGTGGGCTGTGAACCACGACGGCGGCGGACGGGGTTGTTCCTTCCACGGCCAGGCCCTGCCCTGCAGGCTTGCAGCCGAAGAGGAAGGCGCAGAACGAACCTTGTGGGTATAGCTCGCCCGCTAGCCCAGTCGCGGTCGGCCGTCCGCCACGGGTGTTTCTTGCCGTCTGCAGGTGCGAAAAAGTCCGCCCTCTTGCCCTGAAGGTGGTTGATCCGCGGTGGGGCCCGGGCTTTCGGGGCGACTTCTTGGCGTCCGCGTCAGGACTCTGGACGGTCCAGTGACAGAAGCCACCCGGCACCACCTCCCGTTGCCGTTGGACTGGGCAAAGGCCAGGGCAAGCAGGGCCTGCCAGTGCCATCTCGTACGGGCACTTTTACGGATGCAGCGCGCCATAAATAACACACGCTTCCACTGCCAGCCCTGGGCACCTCTGCGGGGGAAGAAACTTGAAGACAATGGGCTGAGATGCCTCGTGGCGCGGCACTCCCTTGGAATGTCGAGTCTCGCTCAGACCGGCAGAAACACCCGTATGCGTCCCGTCCGATATGTCTCTCCAGCACCTGAGCTCCCATCCCGTCCTCGGTGCTGATCAATGGTCGCTCGTCCGAAAGTGGCCCCATCCGTCTCGACCTGATGCTGTGGCACTGGCAGGCCAACCTGAAAGGGCCCCGGGCCACTGACCGCCAGGCGACGCAGGCGTCCAGGGCGCTCGCTGCCAACGCTCTCCTCTCCTCCGTCCGTGCACCAGCTGCGTCCGACCATCTGTCCGCCGCTCGGCCACCCCCTAGCGAAGCCTCCCAAGTCGCGATTTGGTGGGAAATTGGAAGCTTCGACACTATTGACGGCATGCCCGCCCACCCCGGACGCTTGCTTTGCGTTGTCGGCAGCCCTGCCGAAGGGTTCTGTCTGTGTCGACTCGCATGCGGAATCCAATCTCGAAATCGACAGACAACATGATTGATTGCCTGCCACCCGAGCCAATTCTCATGAAGCGTCATGATAACACGGCTGCTATACCCGCCAGTATCAGATCGCTTATCATGACACAACCGTCCTTGTTTTCTTGGTCTGTCACAAGGCCAACTTGCCATCACAGCTGCCATCACTGTCGACTTGCCACGAGGCAGACGCCATCAGCTTTCCGCTGTTGCACCCTTGTCTCGGTTCCTGACGGACTGTTAACGCCCAAATCGTGGCGATCCCGAGTCAACAGCATTCCCGGACCGTGCCCACCCGTGACCTCATCGCCACTCCTCCCCCTCTTCGGTACATGCTCATTCCTTGCCAGGCGAAGCTCGTGTTTGGCGCCGATCCGCGTCACTTTGCGAAGATCTGTTTTCCTTTGGAGCTCGCTGCTTTAATCAAGCAAGGACAGCGTTGGCAACACGTCAACGCAGGCAGGTGCTTGGTTGACAAACTGCTTCAGAAGTGGACGTTTGAATGCACTTCGATGCATACAACCTTCGAATGAGCGACTGGACACTGCTCCTGACCTGACCACCAAGCAATCATTGAGTATAATTATTAAGAAGAAACAAATCGAAGCGGCACTCCGATGTGGTCCATCTTCAAATGAAATGTCCGGGGAGAGTGCATCGTGACTGATTTACATTGACGAGATAGGGGTTCGACAAGAGGGTGTTCGGCCGAGAAGGTTGTTGAGAGTACTTAATGTCAGTTGGCCTCGAAATTTTTATCCAAATGAGTAATCGGTATCGTGTCCGAGTGGTTAAGGAGACAGACTTGAATAGATCGCCTAGGCGATTCTTCGGTATCTGTTGGGTTCGCCCGCGCAGGTTCGAACCCTGTCGATACCGCCAATCTTTTTTGTCCTTTTACCCTTTTCCGTCTCTGACCCTAGCTGCTTCAATAGAGCTTACCCACTGACTCTGAAGGTGTCTCCTCAAGTCGCTCCGTTCTAATCACCGCCTCCAGTTCCGTGAATCGGCATTTCCATCCGTCGACGGCGCCCAGTCCTTCCCTCGTGGACACTGCCACCTCCATCCTCGGCGTGTGGCTATGGTGGACGAACCATGGAACGACTGCCAACGGCCCAAGCGACAGCGCCGTCGCTCGTGTCTCGTGCCCGGCACGCTCCTGCAGGAACCTAACACTAGCTCATGCTCTGATTCGACCGCCACACTGTAAAAATAGCATCTTACATTCCGCCCTCGGCTCCGACCGATCACGAATGGTCACGATGGTGCTGATGCCCGTATTTCAGTCAGATACCGACGCAAAGGCGTGGTACGCAGTGTATGCTTGATCTAACTGGCTGAGTGCGCTCTTCCTGTCCGTTCTATATGCAAAGGGAAATTCCGAGGGAGGCCCTGGTGGAAAACCCCAGACAAAAGTGTCATCATATGTGATCCAAATACTCCGGTCCATGGTGTATGGTGTAGTCGCAGGCGCGGTGGAAAACGTCGGCCAGGACACGTTTAGAAATAAAAACAAGACATTACCGCACCGAGGCGGAGCCGCCCGGGGACACGGGCAGATATGCGCGCGCGCAAAAAGAATTCAAATGCGGTTCCGTCCCGCCGGGCAGTAGGGCGAGCCGACAGGCTCGATCCCAACCGCTGGCAGAATCAGGTGTCATGTGCGCAGCGATGATGCGTATGTGCAGAGTGACAGCTTCGTACGCCTGCGCCGTCGCCAAAGGAAGTCGTGAGAGCTCGTGGCTTGCTTGCTGATGAATGAGTCTATGCAGGGCGTCGAAAGATTACAGGTCCCTCATGCTCCATGAGGGCTTGAGTGTCTGTTCGAGCTTGGCGGTGGTGAAGACGGTGTCCTCCGGCAGGCGGCTGACACGGCCGGCACCGCTGCGGATGGCATGCGCCTGGGCGGCCGAGATGCCGCTCCTGTTGCTGCGGATGCTGCCGGCGTCGCTCATGTTGTCGTCGCCGTTGCCGAACCTACGGGGAGGGGCAAAGTCGAGTCCAGTGAACGTGCTCGACTTCCTCAGCAGATGCCTGGGTATGAAAGTTAGTTATTGCACAGAGAATCAAAGCAGGATGAGAGCCAGGTAAAACTTACGGGCTGGGAATGGCACCCATCTCATCGTAGCTGCTGATGAGAGGGGACGCGACAGGCACCTTGGGCTTGTAAGGACGCCTCTCGCCCACGGGGCTCTGCGAACGGCCCCTGTTGCGGTCTTCGTACGAGTCCGGAGGGGCAAAGTCGATTGCGCCGAAGATGGCTATCGAGTCATCCTTGAGCTTGGATGGCGTCGGGAGTGTCGTGAGGGCAGGAGGCGGGGGCCCGCGGGGCTTGGGCTGTCTCGCGGACCGGTTGGAGACGGAGGATCCTGGCCGGGGGTGGCCCCAGTTGCTGGACATGGCGCTGCCGGTGCGAGGAGGAGGAGGACGCCTGCCACCGGGCATGCTCATGCCGCCCATAGACCCGTTCCTGGGCCTGTTTTGAGGCGGGAACCTCTGACGGGATTGACCGGGAGGGGGCGTCATAGCGCGGCGAGTGACGGGTTGCGCGTACGGCATGACGAAAGCGTTCGACTTGGGGTCATAGTAGGCGCCCTCGTTGTGGTTGCCGTTGTGGTTGTTGTTGCCCGCATAGCCGGGATCATAGTCCTCGTAGTACGGAACGCCGCCGCCCTGGGGAGGGCCGCGCTGCTGCTGGTCAGGCCTGACCGAATCATCAAAGTATTCCTTGTAGAAAGAGCGGATGCGGTTGGCCCTCTCCTCGGGGTCTTCGAACTCCATGAACTCGTCCGGCGGCAGGGGTCGCTGGCCGACGGACAGCCTCTTGTTGTCCTGCTGGGGGACACCGAGAACCTGCGAGTCCCGGTAGTTACCTTCCATGGAGCGCCTCTGGGCCGGGCGGCCGCGCTCCTCGTATACGTCTTCGTGATACATGGCGTCATGTGCATCGTGCGTGTGAGTGTCCTCGGAAATGATGGTGGGAAGGGGCGAGTTCTGCGTTTGAGGAGGCGGCCTCGGGCTGGAGGGAAGGCCGAGGGTCGGAACGGACTGGGCCTTGGCATTGGAGGGCGGCTCCTGGAAGTGCATGTCGTCAAGTCCGAGACCGACGCCCAGCTCGGGGAGAGCGAGGGACTCATGCCTCACATCCGTCGTCTGTGCCTGGCCGGGAAGAGAGCGGTCGGACACAGCCATGCCCGGCTCACCCCAAGAAGACCTAGCCGTGCCCTGGGCAGGCGCGTTCTGGTCCCTGCTGGTAACGTCGTCCCTGTCGAGCTCGTTGTAGTTGGCCTGGGGGAACTGAACGGTGCCAATCTCGGGGACGATGGCGCGCGGGCTGACGGGCGATGCCATGTCCATGTCGCTCCGTGGCGTCATTGAGCCGGACCTGGGCGTTCCAAAGGGATCGGCAACGGGGGGCGGGGGCATCGGAAGGTGCTCAATGGGTGACGGAGGGTTGTGGCGGTGGGAGAGGGAGTTACCGCGGGGCGGGAGATCCCGGCTGGTAGCGGTGTCGCGGCGTTCGGTGGACTTTGTGTAGACGGAGGATCCGCCCATGGTCTCCTTGTCGTGGCGGAAAGAGCGAATGGAGCCGACTTCGCTGCCGTAGTGTTGAATGGGGCGGTAGGGATCCTCGTTTCCGTTGATGTTGCGGGCCAGGGAGTGGAGGGACTCCTTGGAGCCTTGCAGGGCGGGTGGCAGAAGGTAGGGGCTCTGGAGGTTCATGTCCATGGACACCTGAGCACGGTGTCGGGGGTCAATGTTCAACATCTTCTCGCGGAACATGCTCTTCCGCTTGGCGCCGCCACCATTGCCGTCAAGGCCGAAGTCGAGATCTTGGTTGGGGTCGGCAGCCTCTTCTCTCGCCCGCCTCTTCATGCCTTTGCGGTGGAAGTAGTAAACAAGGGCCACGGCCACAACCAGGGGCACACTTTAGAGAGTTTTGTCAGCTTGGGGCACGCACGCCTGATTCTCTGAGGTTAGACCTACATTACTCCGACGACAATCGGTATGACGTTTGAGTTGCCGACGGGCTTCTCGCACAGGTTGGCGCTCTTGGTGCCATCTTCACAGCCCTTGTCGTCTCTCGCGCTCAGCAGGCTGCGGATGCTGAAGGCGGAGCCCAGGCTCGGGGCCTCTGGGCCGGAGGTTGCAGGAGCCATGGCGCCGGATTTCGCGTGTCGATAGGCAAAGGGCCGGCGTGTTTACTGTTGCGTAGGGGTGGTGTCTGCTCGTCGACGGCGGAGCAGCCCTTGATGTCTTGGCCGGCAATTAATGGTGATTATGTTCGAAAGAGATGCGGAACGACCTCGAAATCGGATGAAGCGAGTGGATCGGGTGTGTATAATAGCGGTAAATGATTCGAAAATGCGCTGGTCGTTGTCGAAACGAGTCGCAACGTGGTCGTCGAGGAAGAGAGGTCGTGGGAGGAACAACGCCTTGGGTCTAACGGGTGGGTGTAAGGAGTGACGTCCGCGGAATCAAGTGATTCGAAGCGGCAGAGAATGAACGACTCGTCGGTGAGATCGCGATGATCGCAGCCAGACAGCTGTTAAAAGAATGACGGGCCCGTAGGCAAGGCTGTTGTGGGTGAAGGAGAGGGAGGGAGGGAGGAAGGGGGGAGGAGGAGGTCGACAGCCGGGAGCCTCGAGAGGAACTGACGATGAACAGAAAGGAGGAAAAGAGGAGGAGAGGACGGGAGAGTCCAGTCTGAGTCGAGCGTCGATCAAAGGCTGGCCAATCCACCCCCCGTTCGCCCAGGCCTGTGCAGGAGGAGAGGACCGGGAGGAGGGGATAGGATAGGACATGCAGTGCCAGTGGTCCAGTGGAGGAGGGTGGACCGTGGAGGGCCTCGCCGAAGAGGAGGACGGGATGGGTGAAGGAGGAGTCGAGTCGAGCCGAGCGGACAGCCCTGGCGCAACGGTGCACGGCGCGCGGTGTCCGCTGCCACACCCCCTGGGAACCCTGAAGAAACAGGCGGCAGAGAGACGGGCGGTCAGTCTCATCGTCCAGGCCAACCGTGCGTGCTTGCCAGTGCTTGCTTGCCCTCCCAGGCCAGGGCCCAGGGGGGGTCCCGGTGCCCCCCTTTGCAGCACGACCCCTGGGTTGGCCAGCCCGGGCCAGGGCAGTGGAACTGGTCGAATGAAGGATTAATTTCAGCAAATGAGCTGGGGGGAGCTTCGCGCCTTTTCCAGCCCCACCTTCCCCTGCACAAGTCAGGCACCCTCGCACGCTGACAGGCTGGGACCATCCGCGCTAACGCAGGCACAAGCAGCAGGCGGGCAGGAGTGATGCTGGAGGAAGGACCTGCTGCTCATTGCCAGTGGGCGGCGCCTTGGACTGGGATGGAAGGAACTGACTCTGGCATCCTGTTGATTGTGCCTTCCATCTCCACGCCACGACAGGGGGAAGGGGGCGAGGCCCTTCAGCGGACGGCCACGGTGCGACTGGCGATGTGAGAGGGGGCTTTGGGGGCGCAGACGCTGGCAACGGGGACTGTGGAATGTCCCACCGGCGACGCATGAACATGCCATCCCAACCCGTTGCCGCACTGTCTGCCTGTCATCCCCGTTTCCTCCTCTCTGCGACCCCCGTCCGTCCCATCTCGCCCTCTCTTCTTTGCTTCTCCTCCACTGTTCCGGAGAAATGCCAGGTTGAGAAGAGACGGAAACGAAAGCCGGGTCCTGTTCGCTGCTCGCTGCTCGCTGCTCGCTGCTCAGTGCCCGCCGACAGGGAGCCGCCAAGATGTCCCGGTCCATCCCCGGGGGTTTCAACATCCCTTGCCCCTGACCGGACGGCCGCTGGCATCATTGTTCGGTGGGTGCGACAGCGATGCACAAAACCACGCGTCCGATGCCGTGCGACGGGACTCGATGATCGGC